GATTCCGGGTTTCCTATTGCCTTGTGGAATACCAAAGAACATTGCCACAAACCAACAACAACCATTGGCTTAACATGAGTTAAAATTGGTGAAATGCGATTGTGGACAAACCTTAGCAAATGCTTACGATATTTATGGTATCAGATTATACTGTACTTCTAAATAAGATTGTTCATTGTAAGAATTTTTATAAAATGTTTATTGTGCTAATAAGATTGTTAATTTATATCTAATATAGGAATATTTTATCATGTATAACAAATGGAAGCATTTGTGATAGTTGACGACTTATGGTACATGTGACAAATTGGTCGGATCCATTTGTGTCTTCCGTAAGGGTGCAGTTGCGATATCGCGATTGAATTAATTCCCTGTTAGCACGAATATCATTGATGAAAATCAAAAAATATATGTTCTTTAATATCATTTAGGGTCATACACAATCTTAAAATAGAGATACATGACTGTCATTCATTAATACCTACCAATGTAGTTTTTGTGTTGAATGTCCGTTTGTCTATCATTAGTTCATTTCCTACCGACTTCAAGCTGAATATTTCTAGTTCATATATAGCTATACCAGAATCATCATCAACCCAGTGGTCCCAATAAACCGTATTCTCTGCCTATAATAAATACATATCGAACTAATTTTTCTATATCATTGGAACCTAGCAATAATATGATTCTCATTTAACTGTTGACGTGCTGTTCGCCACCTGACAAATTTCAGCTATATTCATCCTTTTTTAGAATAATATTTAACGTAGTGATTTCCTATTAAACTAGGTTGTGAAAAACAATATAACGATTTTTATACGCCCACACGTAAGATGGGCGTATATTGTAATCACCCCGTCGGTCCGTCGGTCCGTCCGTTCACATTTGGCTCGTGCTCACTCTACAGGCTACAGTTCTTCATGGAATCTTTTGATTTTTATTTTGTATGTCAATGTCATTATAAAGATGATCCCTATTGATTTTCGTGATGATCGGATAATTTTTCACCGAAATATCGTGTCTGACTTGACGTTTTTCTCTATTAGCTATATTGTGCAACTCGTGCTCACTCTACAGGCTACAATTTTTTACAGATTCTTTTGATTTTTATTTTGTGTGTCAATGTCATTATGAAGATAATCCCTATTGATTTTCGTGATGATCGGATAATTTTTCACCGAAATATCGTGTCTGACTTGACGTTTTTCTCTATTAGCTATATTGTGCAACTCGTGCTCACTCTACAGGCTACAATTTTTTACAGATTCTTTTGATTTTTATTTTGTGTGTCAATGTCATTATGAAGATGATCCCTATTGATTTTCGTGATGATCGGATAATATTTCACCGACATATCGTGTCTGACTTGACGTTTTACTCTATTAGCTATATTGTGCAACTCGTGCTCACTCTACAGGCTACAATTCTTTACAGATTCTTTTGATTTTTATTTTGTATGTCTATGTCATTATGAAGATAATCCCTATTGATTTTCGTGATGATCGGATAATTTTTCACCGAAATATCGTGTCTGACTTGACGTTTTTCTCTATTAGCTATATTGTGCAACTCGTGCTCACTCTACAGGCTACAATTTTTTACAGATTCTTTTGATTTTTATTTTGTGTGTCAATGTCATTATGAAGATGATCCCTATTGATTTTCGTGATGATCGGATAATATTTCACCGACATATCGTGTCTGACTTGACGTTTTACTCTATTAGCTATATTGTGCAACTCGTGCTCACTCTACAGGCTACAATTCTTTACAGATTCTTTTGATTTTTATTTTGTATGTCTATGTCGTTATGAAGATGATCCTTATCGATTTTCGCGATGATCGGATAATATTTCACCGAAATATCGTGTCTGACTTGACCTTTCACTCTATTAGCTATATTGTGCAACCCTGTAGTCACTAAAGACTTTTTAATCATTTCTGACAGCTGCCAGTGGGCGTATGTTACCTTGCCTGGCAAGCTATCTTTATTGAAGTGTATATAGTTAATAATAGATGTTGTTAGGTGTTAGATGTCGTTTACAACGTAGGATATCAAAGCCACTATGTAACTACTTTTACAAATCATTCTGCATCCCACTGCCCCCCTCCCCCCAAACACACAACTCCACACTTTTCCCTTATGTCGTCAAGCATAATAATAAATTATGGTTTTCTCTTTTCACCTTCTTTAAGATATCGATATCAGTTAACATGGTTTTGTTACAATTGTTGACAGTTTGACAATGATATGGTGGTACATTGTCAAATTTAATCTCATATTCACGTGACAGTGAGTTTGGTGTGTAGTAGTAGGTGTTGTATACATTTCTTTCTAAATCTTTTATCTTTACAAATCCCCCAATACTTGTTGTTATTTTGAAAGACAGTCTGAAAAAATAAATATTATAACGCCAAGTTAAAGTTTTGCAAAATATGTATGTACTACTTCTGTTGTAGCCTGTGTGAGAACTGTTTGATTTGTCAAAGATATGATTAAAGAGAGCGGTTCTGAACCCTGCGTAAAGTCAGTGTGTCATATTTGCAGGATAAAAGATGGACAAAAGAAACATTTTAAAAGAAAATTTCTAAAAAATGTTCAAAATCACATACCGTTCTAGATGCTGGAAGGGAACCGAGAATGTAGGTTGTATGGTTTTAGTACAATCAAATATACCTTGATTGGGATTATCTTTACTGATGGTGGAACAACTGGTGGTTTGTGTTTGAACCCCATTTCGGCCATCTGAAAGAGATAAGTCATTGCTTTCACACTATCAAAGACAATGGATCTCATGACTGCCCTTATATCGGTGGTAAAATAGCTTTACTTGATAGCTTTGACTACGTTCATCTACGTAATGACCTAACGCTGGCATCTCCTTCCAGATTACCCTTCATAATCCCATTGAAACTAAAACCTACACTTTGTGAAACGAATCCTTCCATCAATAATACCAACTTTATAATCGACCACAAATGGTGGACGGGTAGGACTTGGTTTATAGTAATTTGATCGAAAAGAGTAATATAGATCTTTGGGTTTCATTATATTAGTCCATGTCAGTGGTTGTGGAGAACCAGATCCAAAATCACCAGGAGCATCAACAGTTTCACCATTATCAGCAGTTAAAGTTACTTGATTGTATAAAATATCAGGGATAGCAGTAACTAAAACAATAACAAATATGGAATCATTTCAATACTGTGTGAAGATAAGTATGGGCGAGTCTGTGTCGGTACACAGAGGAACAAATGAGACGGGAGACGGAGACTGCGTTTGTGAAAACACACACAATAAATATATTTTGCATTAGATGGGCTTCAGATACAGGAACTACACATCTGTTAAAAAAATGCGCATAATTTACAATATTGAATATAAGTTGATAAATCTGTTAAATTTTGTAATTAATCACTTCACATTAAAAATGATAATACTATTTCATGTTTATTACAATAATAATTAACTTTACACATATACACTTACTTCTCTGACAATAGCTACCAGTAAACCCATCTTTACAACCACAATTTGAAAACAGCTCATCTCGACATGTACCAGGATAACATCTACTGTCTGGTCTCCATGAACAGGCCTCTATAAATTGAATAAGATTTCCATGAATGAGGTTGTCTAAATGTAAACCAATTTCATCACAAATTATCCAAATCACATGATAAAGCTAGCTTTAAGTCGGGTATAAGGATTTATTTGTTGCTTTTCTGAGGCAGGCAAACCTTTATTTTAAATATTCTGGGGTAATTATGTGCTATATAGCCCGTTTGGTACTGGTGCACCTTAATACATTTAATTTCATTTTCAAGCTTGAAAAGTGATTACATGCAACCTTTGACACAAACATTGTCGATTACCAAGATCTCATCTTCTCGCCCACCCAAACTCAGATCGAATGTAAGGTGGATATAAACATCTATCTCATACGGTACAGAAGAGTAAGACGGCAATAATAATTGCCATCAAAATCAAGTTACATGTATCGTCTAGCATGCTAGCAATAAATATAGCGAATAGGCCTACTAACAAAGCGTGTTTAAATGCCATATTCTTAATTCGGAAATTATTAGATCTAGTGGGTATGCTGCCATGTCAATATCCTTAAAATTTATGATTTAAGTACAATTTATTTTACACCTACGTTAGTGCCAAATGTTGCCATGATCAGATAATTAATAAGAACTCTGAAAGTGAAAATATCGAAACTGCAGTCCTTCTGGAGTGTTTACGGACCAACGATAGATAAAAGAAAGATAAAACAGACCGACAACTTACTTTCACACGATCTTTTATCCGCCGATAGAATATAAGCTCTATATCCCGGCCTATCTTGTACTAATCCTTCGCATTTCCGGCATTTCTGATCAGTTTTAGTTGTACAATATTCTAGATCACAATTATTTATGGGAGAACAGACTGAAAAAAAATTATTAGTTTTAGTTGTACAATAAAATCACACCTCATTTTTTCGTAATTAAATATTTATGTGAATGTCGTTATTGTTATAATGAAATAAACGCTGCATATAAACATGTGACTATCCTTGCAGAATCCGTATGGTCCCATGGTCAGTGAAGTTTACTTACTATCACAAAATGAACCAGCTGAATAAAACCCAACTTGTTTACATTCACATACATCAGGTCGAATACACTTTCCCACGCTCCGATTTACTGTTGTTTTATCAGCCAGTACAATATGTGAGTAGGGAAAATATTTAGAACAAGCTGTTGAATCAGACCTTCCTCTACAGATAGCTGAAATGAGAAACAGTAATTTTACCTGAAAGACAAAGTATCCAAAAAATATTATAATCAGAAACGTTGTGAATTATTGGTCTACAGATTGTTTAACATGCTCTTGACTTGATCTGTAACCTGGATTTATTTAAAATGATTAAAACTCGTGCATTAATTAAGCTGTCTTAACTAGTTTTGGTGTTGGGCCTTTTAACGCCTCGATTTTTTAGTTGAAACTCCAGAATTCAATTTGTTTTACGTAAACCTATGAAATAGATTTGACCATAGATATCTTATAATACACTGGATAGGAATGACATCATTTAAACGCGGCATCATCATTTATAACATTTAAATGCAGTAAAGGAAAATATAGATATCGATCTAAGTACATGAAAGACTAACCTAGGAGTTTTACCCGAGAAAGAGAAAGGCGAAAATGAAATAAATGGAGTTTTACGTCCTACTTTTCTGTACCATGTGGGCTAACGATGACGGGCAAAGTCATGAAATTTTGCCAGGACTGCAGCATAAGCCTGCTCTTTTTCGATTTCCAACTGTCCGGGATCTTTAACGTGCACAGCCTGTAGCACACGGGGCCTCGGAAGGTGAAAATTCTGATGGTAACATCATCCTTTCTCTTTCGAGGGCTTTCTTAACCCCACCTTAATTTTCCTCGCATATTTTATCGCTTTCTCACCTTTTTTTTTCTCTCACTTCGTCTAAATTGTTTTCTTTTTCCCTTTTTTCTCGCTGTTTTCCTCGCCTTTTCTCGATTGCCATATCTTCTGCTTCCGGTGTAAGTGGCGCATTTTCGTTAAAATTTGAAAAGTTCGCCCTTTATTATCCGATTTTGTTGTCTATTAAAAAACCATGTTACTTTATCTAAAACTTGTTGTGAACAGCATTTTGAATTTCGAATTATTATTGCTTTGAAATGTCTATTCTTTTTTTTTCGAAATATTCATACCTTCCTGTGCTTAGACTGCAGTAGTAGTTTTTATTTCTGGAATCTAGGTGTAATTTCTGATATAATAGCACTTAAACAAATTCGAAATTCGAAAATTAGTCGCACACTTTTTTAACAAAAAAAAACAAACTTTTTAGCTTTTTGTCTGATTAATTCTAAAAAAAATTTGAGCAAAGACAATTCATGAACGTGAACAAAAATGTATAGTCAATTTTTTTACTTTACTTCCGGTTTAAACTGGAAATCGATTCTCACTTCCGGTTGAACTACTTCCGGTGTAATTAGGCTCATATCTCATGACCTAGACCTTTGATGACCTTGATCTTCATTTGCGTCATTGACCTTGGCTATCAGCTGATACTTTCATATTCGACCTCCGACATCTACTTCCGTTTTTATGGATGTCTAAAAACAGCCAAATTCGCAAATTTGGACTGCTCTAGCACGTGACCTAATTATCCTAGAGGGTTAATTTTTTCGGATTCTTAATGTGCTCTTCATACTCTTTCTAATGATATATCACAAAAGCAAAATTGAAATTCGTACTTTTTTGATATTTGAGTGTTTTTTACAATATTTTTGTCTCTTTGAACTTAGTGTATGTATATCTTTTGACCTATTTGATGTAGAAGTTTGAAATTTAGAACACTACTAGACATTTTGAAAATGAATTAAATCATGACAAAAAGTTCAGGTGGGCGTGGCACATCCGGGTTAAATTGCTAGTTGTTCAAAGGGGCATAATTTGCATAGTTTACATTTGTTCAATAAGGGACTTTGCACACAAATACCTCATCTCTTTAGCCAGATTGTGTTTAAAGGATAGTTGTTTCAGATTTATAGTTCAAAAAAAGGAACGGGTTTTAGAATTACCATATTATTTTTTGACATTGACCTTTGATGACCTTAACGTTTGTAGGGTCAATGGTCATTAACCTTGGTTATCTATTTATACTTTCATATTTAATGTCGGACGTAAGCTTCCGGTTTTGTAGTCGTATGCATTTTGAAAGTGTGATGAGTGATATCTTGTGGCCTTGACCTTTAATGACCTTGACCTTTATAGGGTCAAAGGTCATTGACCTTGGCTATCATTTGACCTCCGACATGTACTTCCGGTTTTATAGCTGTCCGAAAAAAAAAACAAATTTGCAACTTTTGACTGCTGTAGCACGTGACATAATTAGAGGATTAATTTCTTCGGTCTCCTAATGTGCTTCTCATGCACCTTACATTGATATAACAATCGAATATGAATTCACCTATGACAAAAAAATTGATGTGGGCGTGGCACATCCGGGTTGAATTACTAAATGTTTACATTTTTGGGAATGGGCATAACTTGCATAGAATACATTTGTTCAAAAAGGAACTGTGCACACAATAAACTCATCCGTTTGGCTAGTTTGTGTTAACAGCTCAGTTGTTTCAGCTTTATAGTTCCAAAAAAGGAACGGGTTTTAACATTTGGATATTTTCAATTTTGACTTTTGTTGACCTATATCTTTTGACCTGTATTATGTATAACCTTGGCATTTGATACACGACATAACATTTAGAATATTAATTAACTTATATCAAATAAATGAGGTGGGCGTGGCACATCCGGGTTAAATTACTCATTATTGACATTTTTGGCCAAGGGTATAACTCGCAAAGTATACAATTGTTCAAAATGGAACTTTGCGTACAATTACCTCATGTTTAGAGCCACTTTGTCGTAGAAGTTCGGTTGTTTCCGCTTCATAGTTCAAAAAAGGGAACAGGTTTAGGAAATTCAAAATTTACAATTTTTGAACTTGACCTTTGTTGACCTTGACATTTGTAGGATCAAACGTCATTGGCATTGGCTATCTATTTATACTTTTATATTTGCCGTCCTATATCAACTTTCGGTTTTATAGCCGTATGCAATTTGAAAATTTGATGACTTATATCTCGTGATCTTGCCCTTTTTAGACCTTCTCCTTTACAAGATCAAAGTTCACTGACCTTGGTCTGGTGTCTACTTCCGGTATTAGAATCTTCTAAAAAATAAAGGTTCTTGCGCTTGACCTCATTATCGTCGACGGTTGATTTTTTTAGGGTCTTTAGCAAATTGCTACATTTGCAAAGTCCCACTCTGTGCCACGTGTGGCTCTAGTTATATTTTTGTTGTCCGTTCAAATGTTTTTGAAAATCTTCATTTTAACTTAACTTAACTTTAACAAAATAATTTCTAATACATGTGAAATATACTAGTGTTTCTACAAAAGTCATATGATCAAATTCCTATCATGGGTGACATATCTAATATCTGCGTGTGTTGTTTTTGACAATTGAATAATTGAGAGGTTTATCGTGATGGGGTATAAGTTTTATTTTATACAAATTGAGAATAATCGGGTGACATTTCTGATGTGTAATTATATAATTGATTTATTTATCCGATTCCCGAAAGTTTTAATTTCTTGTTCAAAAATGGTAGACTTAAAAGCACTTGAGTTGAAAGCTAACAGGCTAGAAGTTTGAAAAAGTTCGAAATCCATGGGATAAGGCCTGGTTGCTACGTTCGGAGCTGTCCACAGTTCTAGTTTATTTTTGTTTTCACCACGAGCATATTGTTATTCTTTCTGATCCAAGATAGTGTGAAATAAAGTTTTCATGATATTTCTGCATCGATTAACCCCCAAAGACATATATCAAATTTATATATCTTAAATTCTTTAATTAATTACTGAATAAATCGCTATTCTTTTTTTTACCTGTGTTGCAATTTGTACCGGTCCAACCATGACAACATTCTCGTTTGTTATAATATACCGTCCTACATAAGAAATTGAAATACATTAATAAAGTTTAGACTTGTGTTCAATTATTTGTTTTCATACAATTTATATACGTCTTAATCTTGTATTTATAATATTGAACTTCTTTAGTGTCTTAACCAGAAGAACTAAACATATAACTGTCTCTGTTCTTCTTTATTGCCTCGTATAGTAGAAATTAACAATAAAAATCCGTTCTGGTAAAACAATTACAAAAAATCTCGTCCAAAGCACGACAAAAGCGAGAGTAGAAACGGTATGGATTGAAAAGTATTGGGTCAGAAATCTTCACTTAAAATTATTTGAGTGAGATCTAAGTATAATAGAAAAAAAAGCTGGACTTTACTTATATTTGGTGCAGGAAAACCAGCTCGCTAGTCTCCAACAACTTGTTTTATAAGATTGTATTCTCTGCTTCTTTACTGTACACTCATTACTGGAAAATGGGAATAAATGTCATCGATACCACAGGTCAAGACACATAATAACATAATGTGTTTAAATAAAACAAAATGTCATTATTTTGACTGCAAACAATAGTTAGACCCACTTTGATATTGATATAGCGGCCGTTTTTTCATTCCAGCGAAACCTATATCAAATCAAGAAATATTTGTTATAACTATTAAGCTAAATTATTTTCTTCATGAAAAGCTTTTTTGGATGAACATATTGTGATCGTTTTTTACTTTACTAACTCTTTTCTCTAGAAATGATTATATTAATCCGACGAATGTAAATGATTGATATTTTTACAGTTCGTACCTTACAGACCGATTTTGATTCCGCAAGTAGACTTTTTCAAAAGCGGAGAACCAACCGAATAATCCTAAGTTTTCCGCTATTTTCAAAGAAACCGCTTCTTTGATAACACAATTCTTGTAAATTTAGTCGAAGCAAGTGAATTGAAACTAAAATTACTTACCTGCCAAACCTAATAGACCTGAGATGAATTTGCCCAAGATCCATAAGAATCCTGGCACATAGTGGTTTATCCCTAATAGGAGATATTAGCATACAAAATCAAGAGAATTGGGCAAATCGTGATAAAAGCATGAATATTTTTTTTCAAGATGGCACGGCAATTTTCAAAATGGCTGTTGTGTCCAATTAGAGAAAGAATATTTTTTTCTAGACAACTATTCTCTGACCTTTTTCCATTAAAAAATTATCAGGTTTGGTGATTACCGTCCTAACATGTGACGCAATTACTTGAAATGGAAATTTAAAGTGTTCTGAGATGGGCAAAAAACCCGTTGACTTTATGATTATATCGAATGACCTTTCAATTCAGGATTTTTGGAAAGTAATAAAGCTATAATCATATTTTGACGGGCGTTGTCGTGCTGGAAGGTGTGGAGTCTTGCTAAATGGGGATCAACGTTGCATCGGAGAACCTAGATAGTGAGTCTAAGGCCTCTGCCTAGGCCTATATTCTAAAAGATAACAGGTCCAAGTTTCTGATTCATGCCGATTATAGCCCATATCATAATGGTTGCCACGGATCCCTTACAACCACACAGTTCTCTAAACCATTCACCTCTTCATTGTCATACTAGTGCTCTGCTAACGGTGGTAGAAATGGAGTACTGACTCTCATCTGTGAATACGTGGGTCCTTCACTACTGTTGCTGTTGGATGGCCCATACTTGGAGTTGATGATGAGGAGTGAGCACTGGATCTGTGGCAGATTCTGGCAGTCGAGCCGATTTCGATCGATGGGTCGCTGATCTGGTGGTGTTGGCTAATGGCCGGAGGAACTGTCTGTGCGTGCCACTCTCATGAAGGTGTTAGCGCAGGATGAGGCGATCGTGTCTTGGAGTTGTGTCGTGTAATGGAGGGACGACCACTGTTTGTAGTGTTGTCTTTCAATGGTTTGAACACATTACCTTGTCCTGCATTTTATCGCCTGATGGCTTGTTAACGTTGTTGGATCATTGTCTTCACAAAACAACTGAATCCTCAGTAGGTGTTTAGTGGTTTTTAAATAGAACTCTGGCATTCAC